AGGCTAGCTACCAAATGGCCAGAAATTGCTATATGACAGCATTATAGAAAAAAATATGTATAAAGATAACTTTTAATAAACAGGAATTACACATAAAATAATAAAATAGAGACACAATTAAAAAAAATTATTTTAACCATTGATAAACATAAAATTAAATAAAAACATATGCAAAAAATTATTTTCATAGGAGTAAAGTGAACAAAATTATTATTAAAAAATTCAAGTGAAAAATTGAATTATACAAAAAATCACAAAACAAAAAAATAAAAATGAAAACATTGCTAAGATAAAAAATAAATAAGGAGCCTCTGCATTGAGACCCGTTACAAAACTACAGGTGCAACACCCTGTTTTGACTGTTTGATTAAGTTTTCAACTGTCAGATCTGTACAGATCTGTATTAAAAATTTACAATGTGCCGCACAAAACTGTTCCCTCTACAGATTTGACCGTTGAAAAAGTAATCCAACAAGTAAATTGTTCTACTAGTAGGTTTTTTTAAGGAGTCCACTATAAAGAAAGCCAAAAAATAAGGATAAAAAAATAAAAAAGATGGAAAGACCGCCATGTAACAACTTAAAGAAAGATTATTATTACAAGATTCTTTAACTCTTTTATGTATTCTTAGATAATGGATAAAAATTAAGTATACAATCGTTCTTTTTTACAATTTTTATGGCTCCGTTCATTTTACCGATTCGAGTTTAGAATTTGAGTTTTACTACAGTAACAAATTCTTAGAAACAGTCACATCTAATTTTTTTGCTACAGTAAAAAAACTCTGACATAAAATAACATATTAATTCGAATTAAAAACTCAAATCAGCGAACTAAACGAGTATATTATTGCACAAAATATATAAGTTTGTATATTTAAAATTATTTTTTAAATGATTCAGAAAGGGCTTGTTTTTCCCTAAACCACTTGGATGGTATACATATTTTCTTTTTTCTAATAGGGTATTTTGAATGGTATTTTTTATTTTTTCCCATAAATATTTTTGTCCAAAAAGACAAAAATAACAAAATTAAATAAAAACGTGATAAATGTTAAGAGTGTGTTGTGTGGATCCAAAGTGGCGGGGGAAAAGATCAAATTGGAATCCTTTTTCAAATATTGCGGCGAATAAAGAGAGTGACCGTGCTCGTTGGACTTTGTCGTTCCTTTTATTCCTTAGTTTCACGAAAAATGATCAAAATCATTGTGGTTGGGGTTTTTTTTTTCACTCTGTTTTGAGGCAAATCGCAATGTAGACCTCATTCACTTTGCAGATTTGAGTTTTTAATTCGAGCTGAGATGTGAAATTTTCTGAAAGCTTTTCACTGTAGTAAAAAAAGTTAGATGTGACATTTTCTGAGAATTTTTTACTGTAGAAACCTAAAACTCAAATCGGTGAAATGAACGAGACCGTAGTCTTTTTTTTTTCTTGACTTTAATGTAGTTTTATTTTGATAATAAATGCCTGATTTAAATATCAATAACTCATATTAGATAATTCTGATAGTGTTTTCCTCATTGTTAGGAGATTATTACACTTTTGAGGGAGTTTTTTCAGTAGAATTAGAAAAAAAAATTAAATTCAATTAAGAAATAATATGACAATTGAAAGATAGAATTAAGGGTTGAGATTAATTTAATATAAATCCACCAACAAGAATAATCAACAGTCAATTTTAACTATTGAGTAATGACGATAACTAATAGAACAAAAATTCAATTTGTTTTAATTTCCTTTCTGAAAAAAAAAACACAATGTATAAAAAAATGTTTGAACCAAAATTTTTTGGTTCAAAACTTCAAATTCATGATATAAATAAGGGCTAATAATAATAAGTAGAGAAATGTTAATATCACTTTTTCTGTTACTTTCTTTATTCACTTTTTGATACATAAATTTTATTATTTTATTTTTTATTTAAATAATAATATATCATATTAATAGAGTCTGTATGTCAAACAATAAATAAAAAATGATAAAGAAATAACAGAATAAATAATGTTAGTATTTTTTTAATAGATAATAATCATCCTAGAAATTAGAAAATCCATGCCCTTTTCATCTTGTCCACATCTTTTTTATCCCCTTTTGTTGGAAAAATAAGATCCACACGATTATATTACCACTGTTGTTGCTGATTGCGAAAACAAACATCATTTTAAAGATGAATGGTGTTTACTTCCCCACTTGTCTTTCTAATATACATTGCTCAGTAGTCCACATATAATTAGTACATGGAGTTGTTTTAACGGGTCTTTAAAAAAAAAATGAATTATTAAAAAATTATTATTTTCAATCGTTAAATCTGTAGTAAATTTTTTTTTACGTTATATAACTTTTTAAATTGATGTATTTAAAATAAAAAAATAGACTTTATTGATAAAAAAAAGTCCTAAAAAAACTCAAAATGTATGAGCCCTATATTGATGGTCATGATTGTGGTTTATGAAGCTTTACCTCGTCCAGTTCAAAGTCGACATTGATTGAAAATGAAAGCATATAGCTATTTTTTTTATAAAAATAAAAAAAAAAAAAAACAAAGAAAAAGAACACTAAATATTGTCCAAGATTTTAGGTCCTTTCTTGGTCCGCCAATCTTTAATGGAATTAATAGCTCACGGGGTCCACCTTGTACATTCTAGGTTACAACTAATTTCTTGATTTTTGTAGCCCTTCTTAATTTATATTTATCGAAGTTCAATCCACATTTTCTAAAATTTTGTAAAACAAATATTTAAAATTTTGTAAAACAAAATGCTATAACAAAAAAATTTTGAAATGTGTTAAAGCCTGTGAACTAAAAAGGGGATTAGCCAAGAAACCAATTGAATGGAGTTGACAATTGCATGTTAACAGTAATTGAGTTTTTTTTTTTTTTTTTTTTTTTTTTTTTTTTTTTTTTTTTTTCGATGTTGATTTATACAAGTTTCAGAAGCAAACATAAATGTTCCAAGACTGATATATAAAATGAAATTGGCATAAATCTTAGGAGGTGCCTCTGGTAAATATACTTATGTTTACCATATAACAAAAGATTTATTTATTTTATTTCTTGCATTAATTAATTGCCGAGTTACCTTCATGGAGTTTGGTTGTGAGTTTAAGAAGCAAACATAATGTTCAAGAGCACTGACATAATGGGCCGTCATTGTGTCAGGATGAGCCTGGACCGGTCCAGAACTGACCCATTATTGCATCTATTAATATAAAGTCTTTAATAATGCATATAAAGAGATATATGCAAAATATATATGTATTTTTATTATACTTTTTATCATGAATGCATGTCTTTTATTTGGAGAGTTGATAACATAGCTTCTGAAGAAACAATGGACAATAAGAAGAAGAAAAAAGTGATACTCTTGCTGATACGGTGAAGAAATGCCAGTTGATATGATTAAACGAGTAAAATTCTTAAGATGAGCAAAACGACAAACGACAACAATAGGGGAAAACGACATCAACTAAACGAACGACTGTAAATTGAGCAATGTCTAAATGTGAATGTGACAAAAAGTAATCATAAGAGCAAACAAAAAAGTATAGAAAATAAAAGCTAGACACAATAAAATAATTTAAAATGATGAGGGGAAGCAACAATGATATTAGAAACCGCGTCAACTAATAGAAACGACATTCAGTTAGAAAAACTAATTGAAAAGATAAAAACATGAAAAAAAAGGCTTTTTGATCTGGAAAAAAACATGAAAGAAAACGGAAAAAATCATCAACATAGCAACAAATGACAACAGTATGAGAAATGCTATCAACTGATAGAAACGACGATAGAACGGAAATGAAAATAACCTTAGAAACAGAAAAAGCTTTAATCTTTAAAACAGCAAAAAGTGGAAGATAAACAAGCAAAAGACATGACGGTAGCAAGGAAATGACGAAGAATAAAAATCTCAACTACATGCATGTCAGAAACCACATAAACTGATAAAACGACAAAAAAAAAACTAATAAACGAGAAAACCTGAAAAAAGAGAAAACAATCACAAACAACAATAAAAACTACAACGACAAAAAAAAAAAAAAAAAAAAAAAAAAAAAAAAAAAAAACACTGGAACGTCAAGAATTTTGATAGAAGCAAAAAATAAAAATAAAAAATAAAAATAAAAAAAAGGACAACAAGTTGTATATGAAACCACAGAAGCTAATGAAAAACCAGAGACCATGACAAAAAACCAAGAAACGACAAAGTCTGCAAAGGACCAATGACATGATCAGTATACAGTCTAATTAGCTGGGACTCCCGTGAGCCCACAGTAGCCCAATAGTTGAAAACGACAACAATGTGAGAAACCACGTCAACTGACAAAACGACAATGACTGATAAGACGACAAAAACATGCAAACGACAATAAAAGCAAACAAGAAAACCTGAAAAGTAAAAACAATCAGGCTCTGTTCATTTCACCGATTCATGTTTAAAATTTAAATTTTGTTACAGTAAAAAAACTCTCAAAAACATTCACATCTAACATTTTTACTATAGTAAAAAGTTCTCACATAAAATCACATCTTAACTCGAATTAAAAATTCAAATCAGCAAACTAAATGGGCTCTCAGTCAATCACAACAACAACAAATATCAAGACAACAAAAACAAAACACAGGAACGTAAAACATTTCGACAGTAGCAAATGCGACAATGTATAGTAAACGAGAGAAACTACTGAAAAACGACTTAGCATGACAATAAATTAACTAAGAAACGACAAAGTCTACGAAGGACCAAACGACAATCAGTCCAATTAGCTAGGACTTTCGCGAAGCCCATAGTAGCCCAATCTCTCTCTCTCTCTCTCTCTCTCTCCCCTTGTTTTCTTAGAGGGCAACTTGTTCTAAAGAACCTCTCATTCAAAGCATTTCTTGCCTTGCACTCAAAGATGAATAAAAAGCAAGCAAAAACTAAGTGGTTGTAAATTCACTTTCCAATAAGTTGCTCCTTCAATTTTACTTGAAACTTTCCTCCTAACATTATAAGGTACACACTCATTTTCCTTCCCTTTCACGAGCCACGTCATTCCTTCACAAAGACCACCTTATATACTACATATCCCTTCTCCCACCTTCCTCAACTCAAACCTCTAAACCACCTAAGAATTCTTTTACATCCATTTTTTTTTTTTTTTTTTTTTTGCTTCTCCATTGGAAAAATGGAGGCCAAATATTTGTGTACGTTTTTAACTATACTTGTAACGCTTATTTTTGTGGTTAATAGTGAAGAGTCAGTTAAGCCATTGGTTAAGGTAGTGAAGGGCAAGAAGTTGTGCACCAAAGGGTGGGAATGTAAGGTTTGGTCGGTTTATTGTTGTAACCAAACGATCTCGGAATATTTCCAAGCCTACCAATTCGAGAACCTCTTCTCTAAGCGCAACTCGCCCGTGGCACACGCCGTCGGGTTTTGGGACTACCACTCCTTCATCACCGCCGCCGCTCAGTACCAGCATCTCGGCTTCGGTACCACCGGAGGAAAGTTCGCGGGGATGAAGGAGGTCGCGGCTTTTCTTGGCCATGTTGGCAGCAAAACCTCATGTAAGTGAAAGAAAACAATGATGATCTTCAATAACGTAACGTTTCTTTCCCCCCCCCCTTATGTTAGATCTTTCTCACGTGATTGTCAAGATTTAGATGTGTTTCTAGGTCTTTCCTCGTTTGTGTTATTATTATTTCATTCAAATTCCGTTAGTTTACCAGTTCATTCCAAAAGTTTAAGCTGTTAGAAGGTGTACCAACAATAGTTTTATACTTTAACACTCTCCATTACATGTGGGCTGGACAATGGGTAATCGTGTGAATAAATTAATTAGAAAGCCCAACACGTGAATATTTAAGCCCGAGATATATTAAAGACCTAACACGTGATGACAATTTTAAATGGGGATAAAGAGTGCAATTACGGGAGTCTGAACTCAAGACCTCCAGCTCTGATACCATGTTAGTTTACCAGTCTATCGCAAAAGTTTAAGCTGTTAGGGGGTGGACTAACAATAGTTTTATACTTTAACAAATTCAAAGTTATATTGAAATTTATGTCATATAATATGGTGTTTTTTTTTTTGGTTTAAATTTAAGGTGGATATGGAGTGGCCACTGGGGGACCGTTGGCCTGGGGACTATGCTACAACAAGGAGATGAGTCCCAGCAAATTATACTGTGATGACGACTACAAGGACACTTTTCCCTGCACTCCTGGAGTTTCTTATCATGGTCGTGGTGCCTTGCCTATTTACTGGTAATTCCCCCCCTTTTTTTTCCTCATCAATTTAGCAATACGTAATGTTTTTCATAAAAAATGTACATGAGACATAATTTCTTCTTCTTTTTATTCAATATTCGGTGAAATTTAGCCAATCACATATCACTACTAGATTTGAACTAAGTGTATAGTGTGCACATATCCTTACTGAAATTTATAATTATTATCCTTACTCAAGATTGGAAATTTTTTTTTTTCTTTTGCTCTTCATATTGTACGTCACTCCAAAAAAAAATTTCTAGATCTACACATCATCACCTTATATGCTTGATAACTTTTCTTCTAAAGACTTGAGAAATTCAAACCAACTTTGATGAAAAAGTTCATGACAACTTTTGGTACCACAGGAACTACAACTATGGAGAGACAGGACAAGCCCTGAAGGCGAATCTGTTGGACCACCCAGAGTACATAGAACAGAATGCCACATTGGCCTTCCAGGCTGCAATATGGAGGTGGATGACCCCAGCGAAGAAGCACCAGCCCTCAGCTCATGATGCTTTCGTTGGCAACTGGAAACCAACCAAGAATGACACCTTGTCGAAGCGATTTCCCGGCTTCGGCAGCACGATGAACGTCCTCTACGGCGACTCGGTCTGCGGTCAGGGCGATTCGGAGGCCATGAGCAACATTGTGTCGCACTACTCGTACTACCTTGATCTCATGGGAGTTGGCAGGGAGGAGGCTGGCCCTCATGATGTCCTTACTTGTGCTGAGCAAAAGCCTTTCAACCCGACTTCTGACTCTTCGTCCTCTTCTTCTTCTTGATCTTGTTTTGGGATGGTCACTGATAAGATCATGTGAATTTTCTCCAATTCGTTGAGACAAAATCCTTTTTGAAGAAAAAGAATCAATAAAAAAATGTACGTCTTTTGTGTGAAGATAAAACTAAAGCTTGGAAATCATGTGTATATAATTGGTATATATACTCTTGTTGTCTTGAGTTTTGTGATTTACAAAGTACTGAAATTTTAATCTTGTATGAAGTATGTTTTCCGTTATGTTGTACACTTTTAAGTGCTTGATCAATAGAGAGAATTTTGAAACATTTCTTGCAAGTTTTCTAAGCCGAAAGGAAAACAGAATTTAACATAGGCATTCTTAATACGGTTAAATTTCATTAAAAAAGATCAACTTAAATTTTAAATTAAGATCAGCTTTAATTGCCACATAATCTTGAGTAATCTCTGGATGGAAACGTAAGATGACATATAATTTCTCTAGCCAAGCTCATTTTTCCTTTTTAGTGTCAAAATCTATTTTAACTGTTTTACAATGTAATTGTTGGGTTTTTGTGCTAATTATTATCTTGGCCATGACTGATTTTCAGCTCTCCAAACATCTAACACATATTTTCTCAACCTAACCATGTTCAAATATAAGGTTTACGTTGGATAAATCTATGTATTTACTTTTTCGTCAAATAACATGATTCATACAAATAAAGACAATAATGTTGGTTTTAATCTATCATCCATGTTGTAATTGCACCGGGATGGTGCATCCATCTATCTATCTATATATAGATTACCTATCAAATATATTGATAATGAGACATGGTAATGGTAAGAATCTAATTTTATTAATTATTATGAATTTTTTTATCAACTATTTAATTAATTACAATCACTAGATTAATATTTTACAGTTAAAAATGATACTTATTAATTATTAAATATTAAAGTAACCATTAAATCATACTTTATATGAATGAGTTTCTCACACACACATATATATATTAGGGATGACAATGGCGCGGGGTGGGGGCGGATAATTATTTCCCATCCCAATTCTTGCTCCCCTAAATTGTCCCCATCCCCGCATAAGAAGGGGCGGGGTCGGAGTTGGGGATTCTTCATTGGGGAAGCCTTCCCCATACCCGCCTCATTTTTCATCATATAAGACTATACATTTCAAAATTATAGCAACTTAAAATAAAAATAGAGTAAAAATTCATATGAATTTAGACCAAAATGAAAGGTTTCATAATAAAAATAAAATTCTTAACATATTGCCAACTCAATCCAAAAGTAATAACTCATGCATAAGCAAACAAAAGTTTTAAAACATCAAAATAAAAACGTAAATTATCCTTTCTTATCTATTCTTAATAACTTCAAAAGAGGATGAAGAGGCCCTAGGAGTGCATCCTTATGTATGTATATAATATAGGAGAAGATTAATAATTGCCCTTTTTTCCCTGATACAAGGAACTATAGTAAGTAGTTCCCCTTTCTCAATTAAAAAAATGCAGCTACTCTTTCTTTAAGTAAAAAGTAATTTTAAGAGATTATTTATGTGTGTATATATATTTACATAAAAAAATAATACATTAATATCGGAGCGGAGACAAAGTGAGGAGTGCTATTCCTGTCACCACCACCATGAATTGAGAATTAAATTTTCTCTCTATCTTCAATCTGAATAATTATCTTTCATCTCTGCTCTGTTTAAAGTAGGGCGGAGCCGTCCCCATAAAAATTATTGTCATCCCTAATATATATGTTGTTTTTGATAGGTGTGACTTCATATTATGCTGCTTGAGCAATCCATCTCTCTACAAGTTTGCTTTAGGGTGGGGAAATATCCCTTTTATTTTATTTTTATTTTCTCCTTTTAAGTCTAGTTTCACTAGTTTCCTTTTTTCACTCTTTGAGTACAGATTGCTAAATTGATTTGGCTAATGAGCGGTATGACACATCAAGTGATGGGTTCGACATGATCCAATAAAATTTTATCTATAAAATGATAGATTTTTTAAATTTTTATTAAAAATTATTAATTAATGGATATTAATAAATTTTTAGAGTGCAAATATAACTACTCTTAATAAAATTATTATTGGATTTGGCCAGCACATCGAGCATGTTAAGTGTCAACATAAACACATGCATGACAAGGGCATGACAGTGGTTACTTCTTTTATTATGAAACATATTTTTCAATTTCGTCATTAGACATGTACTATCTTTCCCCTAAAAAAATAGTACTATTTTTTACTTACTAAGATTTAATCTCATTTAAGTCTTTATATAGTATAGTTTTTAATGTTATATTGTTTTCAATAGTATCTTTTAAAATAAAAAAGGTACTTGTATTGTATTAATAGTTATTTTTCTTGTTTGTCTACCCATATTGTATTAGGCACCAGGAACAATAAGAGTACGAGCATGGTAAAAAGATACATATACATTAAAAATATGACATGAATATAAATTATATATAATAAACGAGAAAATTGCAGAATTTATTTTTAAAAGTGTATTTATTTAAATTTTTATCTATTATTTTTTATTAATACCATTTGAGTAAAACAAATTATTAATCAAGAGAGGTTCATACACTTTTAAAATTATTTCTCTCCTTTCCCATAAATAAATCGAGTTCGAGCTTGACAACATAAATCATAATGGGCCTTTCACGATCGTGCTGACCTGTTTTACATATTCTTATTGGCAAACGTAAATTGTCCAGTTTATATTGAATGTGTAGACGTTGTCTTTTGTCAACAAACACACCCTCTTGTTTATGAAATTGAAATGCTTTTTAAGCCAAAAAGTAAACATGATTCATGACCCAATTCAATATCAGAAAAGTTTCTTTTGTTTTTGAAAAGAAAAAGTGTATATATATATATATATATATCAAAAACAAAAAATATATATACACAACGAGAATGATTTATTAAAGGAATTATAAAACGGTTGAAAGTTATTTTCTCTTTTTTATTTTCATTTTCTACTACTTATTAATAATATTTTAATATATTAATTAATAATTATAACCAAACACGATTTTACTTTTTTATTATACTCAAAATAATATCTCAAAAACCAACCAAACGTAATTTTAAAATCAGTTCCAAAATGATTTTTAAAACAATCGCATTCTTATTTTTATACTGAAAATAAAATTATTTTAAAAACGCTACCAAAAAACCCGTAACTTTTTATATATTTCTGTATAATATCGTTCGTTCATGTGTATCACTCAATTCGTTTAAGTGTAATATTCAAAAAATATAATTCAAGACATGTACACACAAGTTTAAACAATGTTGGATGAGAATATGAAATATATATGTATATATATTTGATGGAGATGCCGTACTCAATGACTTTATCTATTATTATATGCATTTCTCACAGAGAAAATCAAACTTATTAGACGGATTAAAATCAAAATATGTAAACTAATTATCTAATGCCGCCAGCGCTAGGCTTTGATGCCATTAATATTTCTTATATAAAGCAATTTAACGATTTTTAATTATTGCAAGTGGATTGAATGAAACTGAATACTTAATAATAGTATATTTTGAGATGCGTGGAATAAATCCACCACAATTATTTAATGCAATTCAATTCCATTCAACTAAACACTTCTAATTCCTTAAATAACAAATTAGCATAAAAGAATCAAAACATACCTGAAAAAGTTAGTGACAAACTTTCTCTCTCCCAGACAGATCAGAGAAAAAAGAATGAATGATAGCCGGAGTTCTGGGGCCGCCTTTGGGTGCGTCGTCGGGCTCCCGGCCATAAAACTTGGTCCTCTGACTCGCCTAGTCGTGAGCTTCTTGTTGGTGGCGACAGTGTACGGAGTGGTGGCTCCATTTAGGTGCATCTAACCCAATTTAAAGCTTAGAAGTTGAACATATGAGCTTTGTTTCCAGGTGAACTTGTCATTTGGTGGCTAAGATATCTTGACTGGCTATCTCCATTGACGGTCCATTAGCCGATTGCCCTTCACCAGAGGCTTCTAATGGCGGTGGTCGAGGTTTTTTTTTTCTGTTATTATGTAATTTCGTGTTTGTAATAAGGGTGGTGGTTTCCCCACCCGACCGTTGTTTGTTTTGTTGTTTATTGTTAGTTTTTGGTGATTGGTTTAAGCTCGTTTGTATCTCTCCTGATAGGGTTGTCTTGGTTCGGCTAGAGTTTTTTCTATGCTGTGTAGATGTCCCATCTTTGTGGGGTTTGACAATCTATCTCTCCAGCGCTTGAAAGTCTATCTCGATGGGAGGGGTTTCTTCAATGCGAGCTTTATATGTGCTCGTGGTTAGTGTGCCAAGGTGTTCTCCTATTTTTAAGCTTCTAGCGTGCGTCCGTCCCTCTAATAGGTCATTAACATTGTACCGAGATGATTGTTTATCAATTTTTAATTAAATGTAATTTCCCTTACAAATGCAAATGGTGGGTCAAATGGGTGTGGTTGTAATGATTATTTCAATATTTATTCATTAATATGTATCATTAAATTTAACCGTAAGATATTAATCTGACGGTTAAAATAAATTAAATAATTAATTAAAAATATATATAATAATTAATAACATTAGATTATTATTATCAGTCATTAAATTTCTATATTTAATATAACCACCGAAAACTCATTCAAATATATGTAGATTATTATTGACGCACGGATGGATGCATATCTCTTTAGTTGTCTAAACTCTTCAAAATCTCCTCCTCTTCCTATAAAAAAAATAAAAAAAAGAAGAAGAAGAAGAAGAAGAAGAAGAAGAAAGAAACCTTATCTAATGGCTTAAAACGGCTTATAGAAATTTGTTTTTTATGTTTTTTGTTTTTAAAAAAGAAAGGGCCTAGAATTTTATTTAAATATCAATTTTATTTTTTAAGGAAACAATACTAAAAATTATTGTGAGAAATGTAAGCCTCTCACAAATATTGGAACTGTCCACAAAAATTGAGCCCAAAATTTTGTGGCAGCAACAAATCCCTTTATCTACAATTTCATCCACCCAGAAGAAAAAAAAAATGAAGTAAATTATGATATTCTTAAAAAAAATTTTGATACGTTAACATATCAGTAAGTTATATTTTTTATTTATTAAATTTATATAAAAATACGTAAAAATTAAAATATATATAAATTTAACAGTTAGAAAGACTTGACTTATCAATACGTCAGCGTACTAATATGTTAAAATTTTCTAACAGTTAAATATGTTTATTTTTTAACTTTTATGTGATTTTATACAGATCTAATAAGTAAGAGCCCGTTTGGTTAGATGATTCGTTCTCTAATTCGAATTATGGTTTATGATTCGTTACAATTATTTTTCTCATAAAAAATATACGTAAATAAAAAATAATTCTAATCTTATAGTTCTAATCTATGGATATATTAACGTACCGGAAGGTCTCAAAATAAAAACAAAAAAACAAAAAGAAAACAAAAAAAAAAGAAAAAGAAAAAGGATCAAGAAGATTCCTCTGCGATCACGTTTGAACAAAAACAGAAGCTGGGAGGTAGGATCTACAGTTTAACTGGCGTACTATTTATTTCAAGCCAAAAAAAAAACTGGCGCACTATTTATGGACAAGGTCCAACTAGGAATCACAGCCGTCGATCATCTAATCGTGACGTAATCTTCTACATATAAATACAACCGTACTTTCAAGTCTCCGTTTCATAATCCAGAACTTCACTGTCGTTCTCCATTTCGCCACCAAAAAACCAAGAGAGAGAGAGAGAGAGAGAGAGAGAGAGAGAGAGAGAGGTGAGAGAGGAGAGCAGAGCCGGGGAGATGGCGGTGGGGAGAGACATAGACGATCTTCCGAAGAACGACGCCAACTACACGGCGCTGACGCCGATGTGGTTCCTGGAGAGAGCGGCTACGGTGCACCCCACCAAGCCTTCCTTGGTGCATGGATCTCGACGCTACACGTGGCTCGACACTTACCGTCGATGCCGCCGATTGGCCTCTGCTCTCTCCGCTCACTCCATCGGCCTCGGTTCCACGGTACTACTTCCTTAAGCTTTCTTTCCTTCTTTGTGTTTTTTTCTTTCCTTCTTTTTGTTTGATTGCCGAGAAAATGAAAGAAACAGAAAAAAAAAATGATAAAATACCACTAAAGGAAGATGCTTTATTATTGAGCTAAGCCCAATTAAGCTTTTTGCGTTTACTTTCTTAAACAAAATAAAATTTTTATCCATATTGAGATTTATAAAAGGAAAAAAAAAAAAAATAGAGAAGGAAAATTATATTGTTTTGGTTGAGGTGTTTGTGTTTTTCCCAGATAAAAACAGTGACCAGAACGTTAAGTTTAGTTTGAGTTGACTTTCTATGATTATGCCAATATACACGTGCTGAGATTAGATAATTCCATAAGTAATTCATAGAATTATTGCTTTTGTGTTTTAGTTGAAATTTTATTGAACCGATATTAAATATTTCTTATTGTTCAATGCGCAAAATTATCTTGATTCAATAGTGATATATACACATAGGAAATCATATTTGATTTATGTAAAGATGAAATTTAGTGATAAGCTGCTGAAAAGGTTATATATTTGGTGGGTCTTTCTCTTTTTCCCCTTAAACTTGCTGAATGAAGTTAAAGCCAAAAATGTGAATGTATTTCTGGATTTAGCCAAAAATGTTAATGTATTTGCCATTTTATCAATTTGATTGAGTTTGAGCTTAGGAAGAGCTTGGTCAACCTTAGCCTTTTTACAACTATACTTTATATGTCATGTTACTTTTCGGTTTTGAATCTTGACTTCCTAATAATTCGCAATGAATAAAGCTTCAAGCAAAAAATAAAAAAATAAAAAAATAAAAAAATAAAAAAAAAATAAAGAAAGAAGAAAGCATTACCTCTGTGCATCAAGGTAAATTAGGCAATCCTTAAGTTCTGTTTTTTCTTTTATCTGCTGGTTCTGCTCTGAACCTGAAGTTTCGAACCCTTTTCTCTTTTTAGCAAAATAGAAACGTAATGTTTCCTTCAATTGGACTCCTTCAAGAAGCAATGGCTAAATCTTTACATTATTATGTGCTATTACATCCTTTTTTTTCCCCACTTAACGCGGAAATTGGAACCGCACACTTTGTAAATTTTTTTCTTAAATATGGTATGTTTCATTATGACTTATGAGTTTGATATGTGATATCTTTGTACAATTTGTATACTTTGGCTTGCCTTAACAATTATGTGACAGATCAATCAGTTCATGAAATCTGATCTTTTGTGGGTTTTGGCTGTTAAATTAGAATCTCTTAATAAGGCTTCAGAGTTCTTAGTAATGTTTCAATTATGTTCGTCCCCAACAGGTATCGGTAATTGCACCAAATGTTCCGGCCATTTATGAAGCACATTTTGGCGTACCAATGGCTGGAGCAGTGGTAAACTGCGTGAATGTTCGTCTGAATGCGTCAACCATTGCATTCCTTCTCGGCCATTCTTCATCCGCAGCTGTGATAGTGGATCAAGAGTTCTTTTCCTTGGCTGAGGAAGCCTTGAAAATCTTAACGGAGAAAAGCAAGGGCCATTACAAGTCTCCGCTTCTCGTTGTCATAGGCGACGAGGGCTGTGATCCCAAGACTCTCGAGCACGCGCTGAGTAGAGGAGCCATTGAGTATGAGAAGTTCCTAGAGACTGGTGACCCTGAGTTTGCTTGGAAGCCACCAGAGGATGAGTGGCAGAGCATTACCTTGGGCTACACTTCTGGCACAACAGCAAGCCCGAAGGGTGTCGTGTTGAGCCACCGTGGGGCATACCTGATGTCGTTGAGTGGAGCCCTTGTTTGGGGGATGAATGAAGGAGCAATATACTTGTGGACTCTACCAATGTTCCATTGCAATGGTTGGTGCTACCCTTGGACTCTAGCTGCTCTTTGTGGCACAAGCATATGCCTTAGACAGGTAAAATAGTTGTATGGTAAATCCTTTGTGTTTAAATCAAATCATGCTTATCTTGCTCTTGGTGAATCTTTTACTATATAACCTCTTTGTTGAGGAACACTGGAACAGGATATAGAAAATTAGGAACTTATGTGTTTATGGATTACGGTTATTTTATCTTTGTTATCATTATCTATTTGGATTGTTTAGAGCTTGGTTATTTAAAAAAATTTCCCTTATTGTCAGGAGCAAAGCCAGAAATTTTTTTGCAGGGAAGGGCTTGAATTAAACTAAAATTTTAACTAAATTAATTGTGTAATAGAGTATAATTAGAAGTAAAAATCAAAGTGCAGATGAAAATTTTTTAAAATTTAGAGTTAGAAAATTTTAGGGGGTAAAAGTAATAAATTTTAGATTAAACTTAAGGTATAATTGAAGACTTCTGGAGCATTCAGCGTAAAATTTAGAAACAAGAAATTTTAAGGGAGGCAAAACAACAAAAATGGGGTAAAATAATAGTTTCTAAATATATATATATATATATATATCTATATTAAAGGAGCTAGCTGGGCTGGGGGGCTGGCCTTAGCTAGGTCCGTCCCTGCTTATTGTTATTTTGTTAGTCTCCATTCTTGTGCTTTTACTCTCTCTAAATAGTCTTAAGGGGGGTTGTTTGGTACATGTATTCAAACCCAAACCACGATTCTGCTATAGTGTTTTTCCTCTCACAAAGAAAAAAATATTCTATATATATATATATATATATATATATATATTAAAGGAGCTAGCTGGGCTGGGGGGCTGGCCTTAGCTAGGTCCGTCCCTGCTTATTGTTATTTTGTTAGTCTCCATTCTTGTGCTTTTACTCTCTCTAAATAGTCTTAAGGGGGGTTGTTTGGTACATGTATTCAAACCCAAACCACGATTCTGCTATAGTGTTTTTCCTCTCACAAAGATTTGAATCAAAAAAATTCCTGCCAATAGTTCTCATACAAAGAATTTGAATAAAAACCCAAATCATGGTTCAAATATACTTCTCAAACGGGCCCTTAGTGACTGTTATTTCAGTTAATATTGGTTAGTTGGTTAATGATATTGAGTATTTATTTTTCTTCTTCTCTGTCTATTCTTCTTGTTCTGTTGGTCTGGCATCACTCTTTCATTATTGCTTGCTTAGTTTCATATTTTACTGTCTTTCCATTTTCACAGGTTACAGCAAAGGGAGTTTATTCAGCCATAGCCAAGCATGGAGTGACTCACTTTTGCGCGGCACCAGTGGTGCTCAACACCATAGTCAATGCGCCACCGGAGGAGGCAATCCTTCCTCTCCCTCACACCGTGCACGTAATGACAGCCGGTGCTGCCCCACCCCCATCCGTCCTCTTTGCAATGTCTGAGAGGGGCTTCAAGGTGGCCCACACTTATGGTCTCTCCGAAACGTATGGCCCTTCCACCATATGTGCCTGGAAGCCTGAATGGGACTCACTTCCTCCCGAGACACAAGCCCGTTTGAATGCACGCCAAGGTGTCCGGTACATTGCCTTGGAAGGTCTTGATGTCATCAACAGCCGAACAATGCAACCCGTCCCTGCAGATGGAAAGACCATCGGAGAGATCATGATGCGCGGGAATGCTGTTATGAAGGGCTACTTGAAGAATCCGAAAGCCAACGAGGAAACTTTTGCCAACGGGTGGTTTCACTCGGGAGATCTTGCTGTGAAACACCCTGATGGGTACATAGAAATCAAGGACAGATCAAAGGACATCATCATCTCTGGGGCTGAGAACATAAGTAGCGTGGAGGTTGAGAACATCATGTATTTGCACCCTGCAATACTAGAGGTGTCTGTGGTGGCCAGGCCCGACGAGCGGTGGGGCGAGTCTCCTTGTGCCTTTGTGACACTGAAGCCCAATGTAGACAAATCGAATGAGCAACATTTAGCAGAAGATATCATGAAGTTTTGCAGGTCCAAAATGCCTGCCTATTGGGTTCCCAAATCTGTGGTATTTGGGCCATTGCCAAAAACCGCAACCGGGAAAATACAGAAGCATTTGTTGAGGGCCAAGGCTAAAGAAATGGGGCCTCTCAAGAAGAGCAAGTTATAATAAAATCAATCATGGTGACGAAATAAAAAGAGAGTAATCTTCATAATAACAATCTTTATCTTTGTTATTTATGTCCTTGTTAGACAATGTATGAGACCTTGTAATCTACCTTAATGTATTAAAGCTTTTGTTATGAGATTCTGTCATGGGAATTATAGGAAAATAATGTTTAGGCTTACTTTTCCATTGTATCATTATCCGAAAAGGTTGCTTGTATTATACGTAATTGGCAGTAATTTTGCAAGACTTTTTGTGATGTGACTGAAATTTTTCATGTACAGATTAGCACAAAAAAGAATTCTGTTTCACTATCTGGGCGTCATGATTATCCAATTGTTTGCTTGCCTGGCAAAATGGATTAATTGGGCCCAGCCTTTGTCAACATAACGTGCAATTTGATAAACTTTTGCTTCATCACTTGACCAAGAAACAACAGTACAATGTTCCATGTCTGCAAGGGAATCTATGTTGCCCAATTACGCAAAGTAACCATCTTTTGAAAATAACACCCTTTTAGGGATGTCAATGGGGTGGGTCGGGGCGAGTTTTCGGCTGACTCGCACGGCCCCGCATCTAGACCGGCCCCTTTCATTATACCTTGTTATTTAAACCCTTTTTAACCTTAACAAGTTCTGTTCTATCTCTCTCTGTTGCTATTTCGATAAAAGAGGTTTATTCATTTAGATTGCGTTTGGTATGAGGGTTCACATCAGGGTGGTTTTAATTTTAGAACTAGAACCATGATTTATGGTTTGAATTTGGGGTTCAAATCATAGTTCAGGAACTAGAATCAGAACCAGAGGTTTGAACCATCCAAAATCAAGAGGAGATGTGGTTTTATTTTTTGGAGTGGTTTTGGTTTAAAACATCACATCAGGATTCAAACATTGAATCAGAACCATTCAAACCAAAAACTGGTTTTCAAAAAATATTTTTTACTTTTTGTAAACAAATAAAAGTTTGAACCAGAATTATAGTTCCGGTTCTAAAACCCTCGTACCAAACACAACCTTAGTCTTTAAGTTGGTTGGTTTGTGATCATCGTTTGCCTTTTACTCACTACCATGCAAATTGAAAAGAAAAGAAAAAAAAAAATCTGAAGTACACTGATTAATCAAAGCTTATTTCCCTTCCACGCAAATGAAAAAGAAATATCCGATGTATACTGATCAATCAAAGCTTATTATGGTTCTAATTTCTTTTAATAATAATAACAAGCCAACCAACTTTGACAAATGAATGTGGGGCTTGAGGCAGATAAATATGTCTTTACTTAAAATAAAGACTCAAAGCTAGCAAGGAACTAAAAAAGAGGATAAGAAGATCTTCATATATACATACATATATATATATATATATACATATGAGCTAGTTGGCAAAGCTATATATCTCATGGCAATGTTTCTGATTGTGTATATTGAGGATAAGAGTGTAATGGCCAGTCACTATCTTCTCCATGCAGCAGTAGTTGTGTGCCTAAAATTGCAGCTCATCATCTTTAGAGAGGTTTGGTCTCATCCACGTATGTTTTTTTTTTTTTTTTCCTTCTTAATTATTATTTTTTGTTTTCCATTTTTTATGGGTTTTATTTGTTCTCATCCAAAACTAAAAGTTGTCAAGAATTTCAAGCCAGATGAAAGGGGGGGTTGGGTTGGTTTGGGTCCATCTCACTTCATGCAAATCCAACCAATCATCTTTTTCTCAAATTTGGCATTTCTTGTTTCACATTATTATTCCCTAGTTTGTGTGTGTCTTCTAACAAACTAAGCAAAAGAAATGAGTAACTGATCAGTAGTAGGGTTGGTTGGCCTGGCCATGACCATGACCATATAAAAGCAAACAACCAAACTGAATTATTACCAATATTCCCATAAAACTTAACACAATATATATATATATATATATGTGTATATGTATATGTATATGTATATGTATGTATGTATATAAGAGCGTCACTTGGCAACACAAACAAGGGACTAAAAGTCTACTTGCCACTTGACAATGCAAAGGCCTAGCTATGATCATAATTTAATTTCCTTACCAACAAAATGGAAGATTAAAGAGTAAAACTTATAAGGTCCAAATAAGTGTACAAGTGAGGAGAATAAATTGAAATTCTACAATATAACAAGGGTAACCCCTAATATCAAAGTCATTTTTCCGCTAATTCTATATCATAATCGTATGAGAACAAAAAATGTAAATTTAATAGAATTCAATGAAGATCTGAACGTTCAGAGTTTTATTAGTATTCATGACGTGGTATTATTTTATATAATTATACCCCATCATATAATTCTTTTATCTCTTTTTTTTTTTGGGGCCACTTTTGGCAGGGAAAGTAGGAATCAATTTGGGAGGTTGCATATAAAGGCTGTGAGAAGGGGATGATGCAAAAGGATGCATGGGCAATAACATTTTCATAACTATTTTTTAGGCAAAGTGAACTAGCTAGGATTTAAATGTTGTTTGTGCCAAAAGCCAAAAAAAAAAAAAAAAAAAAAGCATAACAAGGAGAATAATAACACTTATATGGTGAAACAAGGAAGAAAAATATCGATATTCATAATTTCATATATAGTCCTTGAAGTGGCCAAAAAAAAAAATCTACTTAACCACTTTTATTCACAAGAGACGTATTATAGTACTATAATTGTATAATTGCATGAAAATACATTCCAATGACCTCAGTCTCGTCTTGTAGATGATAAGGTAGGTTATTAATTATTTGACAAATTATTATAGAAGATATGGTTGTTAAATGGAATCTGGGATAATAAAAATCAGACTAATTTGGCCCTAAATGGTACGGGCTAGCTGCTGTTATAAATTATGCACCTATATTTGAATTATGTATTTCTATATTTCAATGTACATATTGATAATTATGTTTCTTGTGGGGCCTAGGCTTATAGGAAACCAATTGATCACACATATCTTAAATTACTAATAGATATTATTGTGTCCATTTTTGTATCTCGTCATTGATTTGCATAAACAAAGAAATGCATATGCAAAATTAGTGGTTCTTCTACGTGTGCAGTTAAATAGATAAATCAAGCACATAAATATTATTGACTAAGCGTGTTATGAAGAGTCTATTCGAAGTAGTCTTCATATTTGTTAGGAAAAGGGATTTTTCATTTTTTTTCTTAATAAATTAAGGAAATAAAAGATAAATTACAGTCAGCTTTATATTCTCGCATGGGGTCCAAACTAATAAAATAATTCTCATTGCATGCTGAAACTTTAATATAAGGCTAAAATTATACATCTCTCATGGGTTAGCTGGTCCAAGCTAATCAAACAATTCTATTTGCAATAAAATATATGTATATAGATATATATATATATATAACATATATTATAAGACATCTACATATCTTGTGTCAGCTACCGTATCTACACCATAATATAAGCCCATACATACATGTCACATATAAGTGCTCTTAAGCTAGCTAGACAGAAACTATATACATATATATATATATATGAACATAAATATAAATATAAATATATATATATATATATATATATAGAGAGAGAGAGAGAGAGAGAGAGAGAGAGAGAGAGAGAGGCAAAACAAAACACCAAAAACATGCACTTTTCTTCCTTTTGATTAACCGCAACTCACAAGACAAAGATAAGTTGAACAAGAAGACAAATGTTTATATTTCACTTTGAATATATTACAGTCACGAGATTACCCTATTTTCTGGTCCTGATGATCATCAGTCAGTCAAGTAGTATATGAACATATATTGTCACGAGAATGTAAAATTTCTACTCTTATATATATATATTGAAATGCTACTTTTCTAGGCAGTCAAAGTCATTAATGATCAATGGGAGATCAGTAAATTAAAATTCCATGACTGCATGCACAAATTAATCCGAAAACCGAGCTTTCCAAATACTTTTTTTTTTTTTTTTAATCTAGGGCTATTTTGGTTCTAGGGGTAACATTTATATATATATATATATATAGTGCTTTCTTACCAAAAACATATATTATGAAAGTGAAACCAACAAAACCAACATTATACGTACATAATACATAGATTGTAATCTCTTAAAATATATAAATACACACACACACACACACACAATATTGAGAGTACTAGCTCAAGTGGTTGTGAACGAGACTGTGTCAATATGTGATTCAAAATTTGGATTATGATGGTTTTATTTCTTTCTAATATACGAAAAGTCATAGACCCGACAATATTTGTATCAAATATACACATTCAGTCACAAGAGTATTATTGTAAATTTTCTTCTTTTTTTTGCCTGATCAAACTCGATCGTCAACTTTTCTAATTGGTTAACCTTCAGAAACAAAACTTTCCATTTTGATGGCGGCTAAAATCTAATTGGGTGGCCGGTACTAACTACTGTAGCTACTGGCGCTTTTAGTCCTCAGATGATCAGAAATAGATTCTCCAGTCCGTGACCCACACAAAATTATTAATCAGTAATTAATAATCAACTTCTTTTTCTATTCCAATCTCAATCTCCTTTTTCCCCCTTTTCTCTCTTTAGCCAACTCTTCAAATTAAAGCACCTACATATGTTATGGATATTACATTTATTTATTCACTAAGCTCACATTAAAGCTGCAATATATAATTATTTCTAACAATATTATATGTCTCATATATAGTTTGTGACCTGCCATGCGTGTTTCACTGACTCACTAACTCCTATATTCCATCTCTCTCTCTCTCTCTCTCTCTCTCTCTCTATTTTTGTGTTTTTTGCTTCACAGTTTTAACTTCATGATCATGCCATCTCTCTCTCTCTCTCTCTCTCTCTATTTTTGTGTTTTTTGCTTAACAGTTTTAACTTCATGATCATGCCATCATCATGTTATACATAATATTGACGTGGAAATCCGATCATGAATAATATCAAACCTCTTTTTTATCATCTTCTTTCTTCTATATATACCAACAACAATTCATCTCCAAAACACAAAGCCCTTTAACATTATACACCAAAAAGAAAACCAAACCAAAATATCCCATTATGGCCTATTCCCACAAACCCAAACCCAAAACCAAAAACAAAACCAACATTTTATTAGTCTTCTTCTTCTTCTTGACTAGTTTTAGTAACACGCTCGTTGCCGCACGTGCGCCGTTCGCGTGCGACCCGCGGAGCGGCCTGACGAGGAGCCTGAGGTTCTGCCGGACGACGCTGCCGGTGCACGTGCGGGTGAGTGACTTGATCGGACGGCTGACGTTGCAGGAGAAGATCAGGCTGCTTGTGAACAATGCCATTGAGGTGCCTCGCCTTGGCATCCAGGGATACGAGTGGTGGTCAGAGGCACTTCATGGGGTCTCCAATGTGGGCCCAGGCACCAAGTTCGGTGGGGCCTTCCCTGGGGCCACCAGCTTCCCTCAGGTCATTACTACTGCTGCTTCTTTCAACGAGTCTTTGTGGGAGGAGATCGGACGGGTGAGGATTTTTTTCCCCTAATAAATTTCTTTTTTATTTTTTCTCTATCTTTCTGATAATAAAATTTAAAACTTATTTTGTTTTATATATATATGTATGTATGTATATCTCAATCGTAACAAAGTATTAGTATAGATTGCGTTCCAAGTATTTCTTTTTTCCAATCATATATAGTCCTTTTTTTTTTGGGTTTTTTAAGCCATTGTATGTGTTCTCTACAGTTTTGGATGGTCTAAATAATACTAAGTATTTTTTATTTCTTGAAGAAAAGTAAGAATTTATTAAGGTTTTTCTTCAGCCGCCTTTTGGATTTTTTTTTTTTATTCAGAGAAAAATACACTCGGCCAAGTGTACTATTAACTTCTTTTTTTTTTTTCAATAATGAATTTCTTTTTGCGGCTATTTAAGCTCTTTTACGTTTTCTCAGTCCTTGCATGCTTTTAGAATTACAAAGTTTTCAAAAAGAAATAACTTATTCCTTTTCTTTAGCCTTTCGTATTTTTTTAAAAAGTTTTGTTATCCAGAAAGACATTATTATGATCTTTTACTATGATTGAAGATGCTAAAAAAAAAATATCTTTATTAATTTATAATCTATTTTGCTTGAACGTTACTCAATTTAATTTGTCCATGTTCTAAGCTTCACGAGTCATTGTCGACAAGATAGATAACATGTCATATAGTGTGAGGTTAGTAGAAACATTTTCATGCATAAATAAAAAAATAAAAAAATAATAAATACATATATATATATATATATATATATATCCAGCACTATTATTGATTTAGTTAAAAGCAGACAAAGGATATTGAAAATCGAAGTACTTTAATGCTTTCTTTTGCTGGATTCTGGTCCCATATAGCGTTAATTAGAGGACCACATGATTTTTCACTTAAATTCTCTTGATGATTTTTGGATAATGCCAAACGACAATGAAAGTTTAACACTATTGCCACAAAAACGTGTAAAAGAGTTCGTTGTGCCATTATGCATTTTAACTACTACAAAAATAAAGACAACGAAAGAATCTTCATTTTTCAACAAGCTATTTATGAGGTGGTAGTTGATTTTCGTTCCTATAATTATACTAGGTTCTCTGCCAATTAGGAAAAAGTTTCTTTTTTCTATTTCGTTTTCATATGGTAAGGGATCATTATCAATAATTATACAAACGCTAAATCACATTAAAATCAATATCAATCCAAAACAAAATGTAAATCATCAACATGATCTAATTATCAAAATTCAACTATTTACAACAATAACGTACTAATTAATAGAAAGTTTTTTCTTTCTTACCGCACTAAAGCAATTTTTTTTTTTTTTTTCCCTCTCGGCGAAAAAGATTTGTTAAGGTGTTGTTTGGTTGGGAGATTCGTTCCCTGATTCGAATCATGGTTCGTGGTTAGTTACAGTATTTTCTCTCACAAAAAATACACATAAATCGAAAATGGTTCTAATCACATGGTTCTAATCCATGAACCAAACATCTCCTAAGTTTTTTTTTTTTTTCAAAATGAACTTAATTTTCGCAGTCCAACTAGTGGCAAAGTGACCCCACAACCATCAGAAAGTGAGAATTGGTAGAGATTCTTGCTGTATTACAAGTCAAACTTGCTAGGTATATTGGCGAGTATAAATTATAATTCATCTATTATATAGTTTTTGGTCCCAATATATATATATATATATATAAAACATATATATGGAGTTTAATTCTACTATAAATCTAAAACACGTATAATAATTGATATTTGGACCACTCTATTAACTTTTCCTCTTTTAGTAGATGTAGAAAAGCTTTTCTGTTTTTGTGTCCTCCTCTTAAGTCATTTTTCCTTTCCCCATCCGCCCAAGTTCCATGGAAATTTCAAAAAAGAAAATTTTCTTCCTTTTACTAATCTGGCGATGGAAAACTTTACTATTAATGAAGCTAAACCAAGTAAAGGATCCAAATGAATTAACGACTAAATTGTGCTTTTCAATATTCTTTATTAGAAAAAAAAAACGACATGGGTTAATCCATAGGCTTGTTTAAGTAAAGCTATTAGAATTCGTTGCTTGCACAACAAGAAATATGAACCTTTCATTCTATATGACAGATACAATTATAAATATAAATTTGCAACAAATTAGGCCTTTGTAATGCAATAAAACCATTTAAAAACTGCCAAAATAATACTAAATTATGAAAAGAACGCACTAATACTGTTTGATTGTAAAAACCAATTTGATGCTGATTTTTGACCGTGCTTAATTTTGTGTGACAAAACACAGGTGGTCTCTGATGAAGCAAGAGCAATGTACAATGGAGGACTGGCTGGTTTGACATTTTGGAGCCCAAATGTGAACATATTCCGCGACCCCCGTTGGGGCCGAGGCCAAGAAACACCCGGCGAAGACCCCGTCCTAGCCGGAAAGTATGCCGCTAGCTATGTCCGGGGTCTCCAGGGCAATGGAGCAGGGAACAAGCTCAAGGTTGCTGCTTGTTGCAAACACTACACAGCCTATGATCTTGACAATTGGAATGGTGTGGATAGGTATCATTTCAATGCTAGGGTAAGAAAATGATCTCAATCCTTACACTCTTTTTCTTTTGTTTGAAAAGTTCTTTGAAAAAATATGAAACAAACATTTTATTACCCGCTAATCAATTTTTTATTTTTTACCGTCAGATAATATTATAATCATGTAAAAGAAACTACACCATTGACAGAATATTCCCACCTATATTTTTTATTTCTTTTTGTAGACTTAACTTTATGTCAGTTGCATATAGCAAAACTTTGCCAACAAAGTATTTGTTCTCTGTTTTTGTCTGTCTTTCTCTTGTATGTTATTTTAGTGAGCTGCAAAAAGGTGCTGTGGGAAAAATAATCAACCAATAGCATTATTTTAAATTTTTAAATGCTAGATTATATATAACTTTTTTGTGATGGTCTTTGGAATATTTCCTCAATATCAAATCAGTATGGTGAATGAGGAGTGAAAGATTGCTCACACGACCAACTTCCAATTCTGTATAAGAAAATGAAAGTGACTTCCAAGCTGCTCAGAAGGGACTTTAAAAAAAAAAAAAAAAAAAAGAGTTATGGAAGTTTGTGGTCCAAAATATTAAAAATGGTCACCCTTTGCTGTCCAATAATTGCACTTTAGCAGAGAAAGTGGTATCAAATTTAATAATTTGGATATTGGATGCCCAATATAAGTCCTATAAATTTATGTGCTTACCATTGTAGGAACTAGGAAATCAGTCTACTTTTCTTTGTCCTAACTACAGTATTGCTGTGCCTTGCTGGTGCTAGATTCTAACTTTTGATATCACCAAATGGGAGTGCTGCAATTTGGTGTTATTATAGTGTTTTGGTAACTGTCCACCTCCTATACCAAATTCAGATTATGCCCAACTGGAACAGAGTAATTTGAGAGCTCAAAATCCTTTTAACATGTTTAGTTGGTTCCTTTGTGGGTCCCACAATTAAAGCTATAGTCAATCCTGAACGTGGACGTATAACATGTAAAAGGCGAAAATATAATAGAATATTTATTATGTTTTATTGATTATAATTTAATTTTTATCCGTTTAATGTGTGAGACTGATCTGTCGAAAGACTGAAGACAAACCCTAAAATTATAATCGGTGCTCACATTTTATAGATAGTTAAAACTCAAGAATTATACGTTGCAAGCAAGATAATATAGTCGACGTGAGCTCATTATTTGCATGACGATTGATCGGAAAAATTTCCTATGCAGGTAAGTAGGCAAGACTTGGAGGACACATATGATGTGCCATTCAAAGCATGTGTGGTGGAAGGGAAGGTGGCAAGTGTAATGTGTTCATACAATCAAGTCAATGGAAAACCAACATGTGCTGACCCTGACCTTCTCAAGAACACAATCAGAGGTCAATGGCATCTTAATGGGTAAGTCCAATTAGATTAAAATTCACATATAGGAAACACTAGGAAATTGTTCAACTTTCTAATGATTGTGCTAAACCATTTTGCTAATTTGTTTTTTTTTTCATTGTTTATTGTCATAAAATAGGTACATTGTCTCGGACTGTGATTCTGTTGGTGTTCTATATGATAGCCAGCATTATACTAAGACACCAGAAGAAGCTGCAGCAGACACAATTAAAGCAGGTTTTTCTCTCATACTTTCTGTAAAATGGAAACTTTTATGGTGAAAATTTGGAAATTTGTACTAGTATTTTGTGTGTTCTCACTCTGTGTGAAATCATATGAGAATTACTTTTTTTTTGTTGTTGCTTGAAATATGAGAATTACTTAAGAATAAAATAATATGCAAATTTAGCGCAATTAAAAAAATTCATGAAACTAAAATATAACTTGTTAAGGCAAAAAATAGGACAAAACAATAATTTTAGTTTTACAGAATTTTGGCGCATATGCACTTACATCATGATGTTAATAATATGAGTCCCGCCATAAAATTTTTTCATAATGCACATCATTTCTCTAAATTTCATCATCTTCGGCTAATGAGTTTTTTTTTTTTTCTTTTTTTGGGTGAAATGAAGGTTTGGATTTGGATTGTGGGCCTTTTCTTGCTATCTACACAGAGGCTGCTGTACGAAGAGGCCTGCTAAGTGAGATTGATGTGAACAATGCCCTTGCTAACTTGATTACGGTCCAGATGAGACTGGGCATGTTTGATGGTGAGCCATCAGCCCAACCATTTGGAAACTTGGGCCCAAATGACGTGTGCACTCCGGCCCACAAGCAGCTGGCCCTTGAGGCGGCTCGCCAAGGCATTGTTCTGCTTAAGAACCGTGAGCCAACTCTGCCACTCTCCACCAGACGCCATCGAACTGTAGCTGTTATTGGGCCCAATTCTGATGTCACTGTTACCATGATTGGCAACTATGCTGGTAAAATTGTTTTTCTTTCCTTCTCTCCTTATCTATTCCAATTTCCAACGAAATACACGTACCATCACCGTGCTTGGAATTGATCTTGCTTTTTATTTTTCACATTTTTTGAAAAAAAAAATAGAAACGTTTTCAAAACCGCATTTGGCATAATAAAGACAAAAAACGGAAATGAAAGTAATTTTTTAATTTAGTGTAAAATAAGATAAAAATGAAAAATGACTTTTACTCGTTTTTCATTTTTTGTTTTCGTTTTCTCCTCTCTCGAGCACAGATTGAGAGAGAGACATTAATGAAATTTTTTATACTGAAAACAATCTCTTGATAAAACTACCAAACGCATTTTCAAAAATGATTTTCTGTCTGAGATTAAAAACGTTTTCATTTTCATTTTCATACAAAAAATTAAAATCATTTTAAAATGAGTTCCAAACGCACCCCATATTTATTCTAAGAGAAATGCTAGGATGACCCGGTGATAAGTGTGGACTCCTCGAAGCTAGGACATGCTAGAGAGAGACGTGGGCCCCACTTGTATACGCGGGCACATTGAGCTCAAGAAGTCTAATAGCAATACTCTTGATATTTACGCGGGACGTATACTGATCAACAATAAATAATGTATAGTCTATACGTTTATACTGTTTTTGAGAGTTTTTTATTATAGTAAAACTCGAATCGGTGAAATGAATGGAACTTAATAACAATATTCTTAACATTTATGTGGGACATATACTGATCAATAATAAATAGTGTATAGTCTATAAACTCGCGACTGTCTATAGCACAACTTATGTCTTTCAATCCTTATATATTAGGGGTTGCATGTGGCTACACCACATCTCTACAAGGAATCGGTAGATATGCAAAGACCATTCACCAAGCAGGGTGCACCGGTGTAGCTTGTGACAACAACCAGCAATTTGGAGCTGCCGAGGCCGCCGCCCGGCAAGCCGACGCAACGGTGTTAGTAATGGGCTTGGACCAGTCCATTGAAGCTGAGTTCAGGGATAGAAGTGGGCTACTCTTACCAGGACACCAACAAGAGCTTGTGTCAAGAGTGGCTAAGGCCTCCAGAGGCCCAACCATCTTGGTCTTAATGTCTGGTGGTCCTATTGATGTTTCCTTTGCTCAGCGTGACCCCCGTATTGGTGCAATTCTTTGGGTTGGCTACCCTGGCCAAGCTGGAGGAGCTGCCATTGCTGACGTCTTGTTTGGTACCACAAATCCTGGTAAGATATTTATTATGTGGTGATTCGTATTCCCCGTTCATTTCGCTGATTCGAGTTTAAAATTCGAGTTTTACTACAGTAAAAAGCTCTCACAAACAATCACATCTAACTTTTTTGCTACAGTAAAAAGCTCTCACATAAAATCACATCTCAACTCAAATTAAAAACTCGAATCAGCGAACTAAACGGGCCCTTATCTAAAAAGTATCGTCATATCAATACTGCTACATAACAATTTATTGTTTATTAATTTCACATCATATATAAGTATTGTTAGATAACAATAAGTCCATTTGATAATGCTGTAAATTTAAAAAAAAATTATTGTTAGTTGTGTTAAAAGAATAAGTAGCAGTTGAGTGTTTAGTAAACTGTAATATTAAAATTGTTGTTAATTCTAAAAACAGGATCATAATGTTTGATAAAATATGGAGCTAAATTGTTGTACGTGTTTAAAATGACCAAAATTAATTTTATAGAAAAGGTTTTATATATACATATGTGGACATTATATTTTTTATTTTCTGCTGAAATATATGGACATATGATATGTAATTAATATGGACAAATTTTATTTTATAATTATCATGTGAGAAGTTTTAGCCACAATTTAAATAGAACTTTGAAGTTTGTGCGTTTTTAAGAAGAAAATAACATATGAAAAGAAATGTAAGAAAAAGGAAGAAGAAGAAACGTTGATGAATACGGGGGATTATATAACCTTTTTCATTTCAAAATATATATAAACACATGGAGGGAGAGTAATAGTTATGTCAGGGTATTTTAGGAATTATGAAATAAAATGGATGGTCTTTTGGGTATTTAAAAATGTTCATTAAAGAGAGGGATACTGATTTCTGCACAAGTAAAAAATTAAAGTTGCATTTCTCTGTATTATGATTTCTATTCCATAAGCACTTTTTTTACTTTTTTATCGAACACAAAAAAAGTCAAAACTTGTTTAAAAAAACGCTTTTAACTAGTCTATAATCATTACCAAACAGGGCCAATATATGATTGATTGGGCAAAAAAAGATAACAATATATGATCTAGTTAGTTTAACATTTTATCATATTATAACTATAATTCATTACTAGATAAAGTTATATAGCATTACATGATAAATGTGACTAGCTTGTGTTTAGCCCACCATACAACAATTGCATCAATGGAAAGGTGGACAATGCTAATACATGAAGTAATTAGTGTGTTTTCATTTTGCATTTCAATATTGTTTCAAAACCATAACACGAGTTAATACTAGTATATCATTTTTGTGTTTCAGGAGGAAAGCTTCCAATGACATGGTACCCACAAAGCTACCTAGCCAATGTGCCAATGACAAGCATGGACATGAGGGCAAACCCGACAAGAGGCTACCCCGGCAGAACTTACCGCTTCTACAAAGGCCCCGTCGTTTTCCCATTTGGCTACGGTCTTAGCTACACCACATTTGTCCACAAATTAGCTCAAGCTCCCACACAAGTCTCCATTCCCATTGCGAGACTTCATGCCTCCTCCGCGAACTCAACGTCGTTAAGTAAGGCCGTTAGAGTCACCCACACTGATTGCAATTCTCTATCTCTAAGAATTCATATCGATGTCGAGAACAATGGGCCAACAGATGGGACCCACACTCTTCTAATATTTTCAACCCCGCCGACCCACAAATGGGCCGCCCATAAGCAACTGGTGGGCTTTCAGAAGGTCCATTTGGCGGCTGGGTCTCGGCAAAGGGTCATACTTGGTGTCCATGTTTGCAAGCACCTTAGCATTGTGGACCAATTTGGGATCCGAAGGATTCCAATGGGTGAACACACTCTTCACATTGGGGATGATCTCAAGCATTCAATTTCTTTCCAAGCCGATTTAGGGGAAATCAAGTCTTAGAAATTGCCCGTAATTTGATAGTTAAATATACCCATTTTTACCATAATGCTTGGTATTTCTTTCTCATCGGTTATCAATATTACCTCACAAAAATAAGTCTCCTATGCATGCCAAAAAGAAGGTCTGCATGGGATGTAACTGTAATAATTCAATTAAAGAGTCTAAAGAAAGAGTTTTTTCATATTTGAGTTTGATTAGTTATTTGTAATTGTATAGGAATTATGGACTATATATCCATCAAAACCGATTGAAAAAGGCATGTTTGTAACTTGTGAGATAAAGGGCAATAAGAAATTGCAAATGTTTGGTACCTAGATTCGTTCCCTGATTTGAATCATGGTTCGTGGTTCGGTACAGTATTTTCTCTCCCAAAAAATACACATAAATCAAAAATAATTCTAATCACATGGTTCTAATCCATGAACTAAACGTTAATTTGTGGTTAATTGCAACTCCAATTAATTTGGTCTCAAGATATGGACATTTTGTTTCTATCGTTGAACATAGAAAAATTCTAACGTCTCTCCCTCTCTTCTCTAGAACCTTAAAAATGTTGACCATTCAATTATTGTATAGAATTATCTAGTGTCCTAGTGCAACAATCATGGTGGTTAGATATATACAAGGATTAGGTCTCTTTAATATATTTTTCTCTTCCTTTGAAGAAATTTGAGATATTTTGTTGACTATACTAATTGGCTATGGTTATTGGTTCCTACCAAACAAAACAGATATTGAATATTACAATTCACCATTTTGACTTGGCAAGTTACAAATTTTAAAGACTTTGTCTTCTAAACGGTAAGTATTAAATACATAACATTTAACTCATTCAATAAATGTGGGAAGTTAAATATTATGGAAACAAAGTCTAAGCAACTTATTATACATCTATATTTTTGGCAATTTTCAGCAATAAAAAAACAAAATCTTCATTTCTATGTTTTTTTTTTTGTTTTCCTGAAATTGTTAGGGATATTGCTAAAAGAAATTGATAAATTACATTCCTTCATCTTTATTCCCTTTTTCAATCTTTTCATTTTTACAAATAAAATAAAAAAAGTGCAGGTTTAAGAAGGAAATGGAAAATGGCCAAAGGGAAAAATGTCGGTGAGAAAATTGAGGAACTAGGAATGTGATAATTAGCACGTGAGAGTGTGTGTACGTTGTGGGTTAAACATGGACCAAATGATGGTGATATCTTAACGGCTACTAATACCATTAACATCTCCAAATATCTTTTCATTTTCATTATTTATTAAAATTATTCAATTTTTTCATTATTAAGTGAAGAAAAATGGAGATTTGTCCTGTCCTACCCAATAAGCAGTTCGTTCACCACCCCTTAACCTCATCTTCACCCACTCCCGATCTCAAAGAGGGTAATATTAGATAAGATACAAAAAATAACATAAAATAGAATAAAAGTTTGCCAAATTTTGTCTTACAAAATTTAAAAAAAAAAAAAAAAAAAAAAAAAAAACTTATGGTTTTATGCTATGGTCTTATGCTCTCTTTGAGTCTTTCTCATCTATATACCCATATACCAAGTATAGACATATTGTCATTGTTATGTATAAATACCGACATAAATTCTTATCTCGCCCTCCACTCAACCATATACCCAATATTCATTCTTTCATTCATTCATTTCTCCCCTTTTCCATTTTCATCGCTTCCTTTTTGTATCCGTTGCATCTCTCACTTTGCTCTTCCACAAGGTAATCCCAAGATCCTCATCTCTTTTTCCCTTTTTTTTTACTTTCCTTTTTTTTTTTTTGTCTTTATAATTTTGGTTTTTTTGGCTTCAACTTCTGGCCCTTATATTTGGCTTTAAGGTAAGCTTTTGCCCACCTTGTTTTCTGCCTATTCTCACGTCTCTCTCTCTCTCTCTCTATATCAGGTTTTTACATTCTATATACTTCTCAAAATTTTGTTGGGGTCTTCTAATTTGATTAAAAAAATTGTTTCTTTTTCTTTTCCATGATTGAAGAAGAGAGAGTATTGATCCTTGCAGGAGAGTGAAGATGGCAGATTGCAACAGAGGTGAAGACTATTTCTCTTCCCAAGGCCATGAGGTATTCTTCTTCGAAACAAGAATACCAGTTAAAGGAAAAAAAAAAAAAAGAAGAAAATTACATGCTTATATGATAATGAAAAACGAATATATATGCCATATGTATGTATAATTGCCATTGTACGAATACTAGCTCTCTTCTTGTTCTCTCTAATAATGTTATGACTTGTGTGTTCGGGTCATTGCGAAAACGACATCAAACTCATCAGTAGAGCTTGTCGTCCGGCTATGACCTTGCGCTTCCTTCCC